TTACCCTGAACCCAAAATTGGCAAGGAAAACACACAGAAAACTATACACTGATATCTCTCATGAATACAGATGCAAAAATCCTAAACAAAATATTAGCAAATCAAATACAATAATACATTAAAAGGATAATACATCACAATCATGTGGGGTTCATTCTAGGGGCACAGGATGGTTCAATACATGTAAATCAATCAGTGACATACACCATATTAACAAAATACAAGATAAAATCATATGATCATATCAATAAATGCAGAAAAGCATTTGACAAGATAAACATCATTTATGATTCAAACACTAGATAAACTGGGTATAGAAATACCTCAACAAAATAAAGGCTACATATGACAAACCCTCAACTAATATCATAATCAATGGTGAAAAACTGAAAAATTTTCCTCTAAGATCAGGAACAAAATAAGAATGCTCACTCTCACCACTGTTATTTAGCATAGTCCTGGAAGTCCTGGCCAAAGCAATCAGGCAAGAGAAAGAAATAAAATGCATCCAAATTTGTAATGAACAAGTAAAATTATCACTTTTTCAGGTGACATGATTCTTTATACAAAAAACCTTACCAACCAAAAAACTATAAGAAACAATAAACACATACAGTAAAGTTGCAGGATACAAAATAAATGTACGAAAATCCACTGCATTCCCATATATAAACAATACAATTTCAGAGAAATAAAAGAAAAAAATTGTAATTGCAACAAAAATATAATGAAACATCTAGGGATAAACTTAACAAAGGATGTGAGGACCTATATACTGAAAATTACAAGGCATTATTTAATAAAGTGAAGAAGACACAAAGAAATGGAAATGTATTTTGTGTTCACTGATTGGAAGAAACAACATAGTTAAAATGGTCATACTACCCAAAGCAAGATACAGATTTAATGCGATCCCCATCAAAGTCCTAATGGCATTCTTAAAAGAAACAGAACAAAAAATCCTCAGATATGTATGGAATCACAAAGGACCCAGAACAGCCAAAAACAATCCTGAAAAATAGAACAAAACCGAAGGAATCACTCTCCTTGACTTCAAATGATAACAACAGTAATCAAAAACAGCATGATACTGGCAGAAAACAGACACAGAACAATGGAAGAAAATTAAGAACCCACATGTGCACAGGGAAATAATTTTTGACAAAGGAACCGAAAACATACAATGCAGAAAAGAAAGTTCTTCAATAAATGATGCTAAGAAAATTGGAAAGCCTCATGCAAAAGAATAAAACTAGACTGCAATTTGTCACCATATATAAAAATTAACTCAAAATGGATCAAAGAGCTAAACACGAGGCCTGAAACAATAAATTACATAGAAGAAAAACAGGTACTAAACTTATAGAAGTTGATCTTATAGAGGATTTTATAAATTTGACATCAAAGGCAACGGAAGTAAAAGCAAAAATAAATGAACGGGACTGTATCAAACCAAGAAGCTTCTGCGCAGCAAAAGAAACCATCAGTAAAACAAAAAGGTAGCCAACCAAATGGGAGAAGACATTTGCAAATGACACTTCTGATTAAGGGTTATCCAAAATATATAAAGAACTCATACAACTCAACAACAACAAAAAATCCATTTAAAAAAATGTGCAGAGGATCCGAACAGACACTTCTACCAGAAAGACTCACAAATGGCCAACAGATAAATGGAAAGATGTTCAACTACACTAGATATTAGGGTAGTGCAAATCAAAACTACAATGAAGTACCACCTCACACCTGTTAGAAAGGCTGTTATCAACAACACAAGTAATAACAAGTGTTGGAGAAGTTGTGGAGATAAAGGAACCCTCATTCACTGTTGGTGGGAAGGTAAAGTGGTACAACCACTATGTAAAACAGTATTTTTTGAGGTTTCTCAAAAAATTAAGAATAGAGTTACCATAAGACCCAATAACCCCTCTTCTGGGTATCTTCTGGAAAAACTTGAAAACATTTATTCATATAGAGATATGTACCCCTGGTTCAGTATGGCATTAGTCATGGTGGCCAAGACATAGTAACAACACAAATGTCTTTCAATAGGTGATTGAAGAAGATGTGGTACATACATACAATGGAATACTACCCAGCCATAAAAAGATGACCTACTGCCATTTGTGACAACATGAATATCATGCTAAACAAAATAAGTCACACAGAAAAAGTCAAGAACCATATGATTTCATTTACATGTGGGATATAAAACTGAAAGCAACAAAGGAATATGTAATCCAAACAAACAGACAAAAACTCAGACACAGACAACAGTATGGTGGTTACCAGAAGGAAAACAGAGTGGGGAACTAGTAAAGAGTAAAGGGGGTCTACTACATAGTGACAAAAGGAGACCGGACTTTGAGTGGTGAACACGCAATGCAATACACAGATGACGTATCACAGAATTGCACATTTGAAACCTATCAGATTTTATTAGTGTCACTCCAATAAATTTAATAAAAACTAAAACAAAAAATTATAACTTTAGCCTGGCTGGTGTAGCTCAGTGGATTGAGCATGGGCCTGTAAACCAGAGTAGGTTCAATTCCCAGTCAGGGCACATGCCTGGGTTGCAGGCCAGTTCCCAGCAGGGGACACACGAGAGGCAACCATGCATTGACATTTCTTTCCTTTTCTCCTTCCCTTCCCCTCTAAAGATAAATAAATAAATAAATCTTTTAAAAAAATTATAACTTTAGCCCTGACTGGTGTATTTCAGTGGATTGAGCACCTGCCTGAGAATCAAAGAGTGACTGGTTTGAGTCTCAGTCAGAGCACGTGCCTAGGTTTCACGCCAGGTCCCCAAGTGGGGGGCACGTGAGAGGCAACCACACATTAGTGTTTGCCTCTCTTTCTTCTTCCCTTCCCATCTCTCTAAAAATATAATTTTAAAATCTTTTAAAAAATTAGCCCTGGCTGGTGTACCTCAGTGGATTGAGCACAGGCCTGTGAACCAAAAGATCACAGTTCGATTCCCAGTCAGGGCACATGCCTGGGTTGCAGGCCAGTTTCCGGCACGGGCCAGTTCCCAGGAGAAGATGCACCAGAAGCAACCATACATTAATATTTCTCTCCTCTCCTTCCCTTCCCTTCTAAAGATAAATAAAAAAATTTTTAAATCTTTTAAAAAATTATAAATTCAGTCTCATACTAATCTCTCTCATTCGTTACCTCCACTTGGACATCTAATAAAAAATCTCAAATTTAATATATCTAATAAAATCAAATTCTTGATTCTCCCTTTGCCTTCAAATCTGCTCATCTCCTAGTATTCCCCCATCTCAGTAAATACTCAGTTACTCTGGCCAAAGTCTTTGTAGTCTTTCTTGACTTCTATTTCACTCTAAACCTACATCAAATTCTGTCGGCTCTACCTTCAAAATATATCCAGAAATCGAACCATTCTCAACAGTTCTACATCTATCCTCCTGCCCATCCAAAATCATCTCTTGCCTGGATTATTACAAGTAGCCTCCTACATGGTCTCTGCTCTTGTCCCTTTATCATCCATTCATCATAAAGCAGCCAGAGTGATCCTTTAAAAAATAAATTTTCATGTCACATCCCTAAGCAGAACCCTCCAATGGCTTCCCATCACACTTCAAATAAAATCCAAACTTCTTTCAGGAACTATAAGACCCCTAGGACACCCCCCAACATTATCTTTTACCTTATCACTTAATATCTGCCCTCTTATTTACACCAAACCAGCCACACACATCCTTGCTGTTTTTTAACATTCCAAGCATGCTACCACCTCAGCATTTTGTACCTGTTGTTCCCTTTCCTCCAATGCTCTTCCTCTAGATACTGAGATAGTGACTTCCCTACTTCCTTCAGGATTTTGATCAAATGTCACCTTCTTATGAGGTCTTTCCTGACCACTCTATCTAAAACAGTACTCCTGTCACATTGTATCTTACTAACTTTTCTTCATAACACTTATTTTCACCTGGCTTTGGAACATATACCTATTTACTTGTTTATTGATAGTCTCTCCACTAAAATATAAGTTCTGTTTGGATAGGTTCTTGGTCATTTTTATTTGTTTCTATAATCCTAATGCCTGATTATACAAAAAAGATACTCAATAAATTATAAATTAATCAAATGGCTAAATAAATGACATACAGAAAACACAACTATAATTTTAAAGGCTAGATAAAAACATTTTATCAGGCTTTATAGAATATTGTCTTAATTATTATACCACAATTTCATAATGTACAAATTTTGTTTTACCCACAATATTATTACATTTATATAGTTTTCTACTTATAAATAGTAGATTAAGCTCTTTGTAATGTAAGAAATGAATATGAAGAAATAAAAAGAAACTCCAAAAGTTTTTGTCTTGGATCCATTCTAAAAACACTTTTTAAATTGATTAGGACACTAAACGTATTTTGATGTGTTTGAAAATGAGACAAATAAGCACTTTAAAAAAGCTAAATTACCTGGAAGAGATTCTTTATTTCCATATGCTTATACACATTGTTGAGTGTAGTAGGAGCAAAGTTGCCTATACAGGCTGATGTGCTCAAAGAATAAAGGGAGTAGATAAATCATGTGAATGAGATATTCTGAGCCACTGTGAAAGTTTATGAACTAAACACAAGTTATTTTCATTGTTACTAGAATGGTTTGCAGGAAGTCTAGAAACAAACTAATTTTCAAGCTCCAAAGACAGTTTTTAATATTCTAGAGTTACAAATACTTTCCTAAAATGAGGAAGAATCAGTTATTTAATCAAACATAGAGATTATATTTAATCAAAGATATTGGCTATTTTAACAAAAGTTATTTTTCAAAGCTAAATTTTCAACTCTAACTTTGTTGTAAAAGCATTCCAAACTTAAGAGTGAATTTTTTTGTACTTACAATATTTATATACATCATCTAATGGCATGCTTCATTTAAATATATGAATTTTCTACAATAAAATGATATTCAACAGACAAATTATTATAAATCCCAATGTATGAAATACATACCTGAGTTAAACCAGCACCTGTTTGCATAGAAGACTTTTTTAATAGTCTCACTTCTCTGTTTATGTATCTTAGCATTCCACTGAGAGTACTGAAGTCATTCTCAGAGCTGTCATCTTCTAGGTCATATGTGAGAGGTTTAAATGAGTCTGACTGGGTATAAGTCAGATCCTTCTGGCTTTCTTCTAATGCTAAAGGTTGTTCTAGTTGCATTTTTTTTAAGTCCTGTAGTAATTCTTCAGAAAGATCTTCATCACCACGAGTTTTAAAACTAAGGTCACTGGCACTAATAGAGCGACGTAGTTTTCTACACTTGAAAACAGCTGTGTGAGCATATTTAGCAAATTTTGGATCTTGAATGCCAGGAATTGCTACTGGAGATGAAAATGGGGCTGGTAGAAATTTGATGTCTTCTGCCTTTTCATGTCTAGAAATTTTGGCTTGTAATCTGGTTAATTCCGATTCCTATAGAAAAATTGGTACACAGTAGGTGCTCAATACACTTTGTTAAGTGAATTACTTAGAAAATCCCAGACTCTTATCAGTCATCTAAGTCAACCTTCCTCCCAGCATAATTCCTTTTATAACAATTCATATGGGTTTTCCCAGCTCTATTTCAATCCTTCATTTTTGGACAATTATATAATTTCACCTGAAGTATGTTTAAACCATCCTAAGTAATTCAACTAAAACTAGATTCCCCTTAAAGAATTTTTTTCTTCTTGGTGTTAATGGCAATATCATTTTCTAGTCAAGACTTAAATATTGCACCTAAAAATTTCTCTACAAATTGTAAAGACACACTATCTTTTGTTCATTTAATGTATATACACACACAAAAAAACAACTCTCTTCAGAATTTCTATTAGGAAACAAATATATATTAGCTACTACTCTGCTTTTTTATATGTCTTCATTACAAGAAAGCTTTAGTATGCTAGACTTTTTCAAAAAACATCTATTATAAAGAGATTAGTAATATTTAATAAGTTAATCTTTATTAAATTAACTTTTCATTTCTATTATTTTTATGTCCTTCATTTGGGCCTTCTGGCCCAATTAGGCCACCCTAAGAATGAGTCTGTATACATTCAAAAATCATACTGCCTAAGAAAGTTAAGAGAAGACATTTTAATTTTAAAAATTCAGTAATATGTGTAGTAGTCTCCAGTTCAATTACATTCTCCTTTTCTTATGAGTATCCATAAGATACAAATTTGTAAATCAGCTACTTTTACTCTGATACTTTCTATTTTCTTAAAAATATTGTTCATAACTGTCAGAATCACAGTGTACATTACAAAATGAAAGTTTAACATATATTCCCATTCTTTGATGTCTTTATATCACTTTACCTAGATTAACTTTATAAGTGGCTAGATGGCCATTTTTTGTAGTAAGTCTTGTATTCACATCCTTATAATGATAATAAAGTAGTTATACAGTTTATACATATATATAAGGGTTAAGTGAGGAGTTTTTTCTTTTATCTTTGCCAGAGGACATGCTCATTAATTTTAGAGAGAGGGGAAGGGAAGGCAAGAGAGAGGGAGAGAAACATCAATGTGAGAGAGAAAAAATGATCAGCTTCCTCTTGCACACTCTCCAACTGGGACCAGACCTGCAACTCAGGAATCAAACTTCCTAACTGGGAATCGAACTGGCAATGACCGCCAACCAACTGAGCCACGCTGTCCAGTGAATGTGGGGAGTTTTTTTTTTTTTTAAATATTGTGTGTTATCTAGCCATAACTGAGAAATGTAGTATCTTAGAAAGTAGGATTTCATTTAACATACAGTTTAACATCTAACTTTTATAATAAAATGTACTATACTGAATATATATAGACTCAAAGAAGGTCACTGTTGTAATCATTATTGTAGTGTGCCATAATATAATGATGTCTTTAGGGCTCTCAGAAAACGGCCTTAGCTTTGCTCTGGCTCCAGTTGCACTCAAATACCAGGCATTTGTTAGGGCACTAAAGGAAGTGAGATGGAAAGATCAGTTGCTTCCAATACTGTTATTCTCTCTCTCACTTGTTTCTGTTCTCTGTATTTAACGTTGCTATTAATGGAAATGCTTTCCATTATTTATAGCTACTTCTAATTGTTATAGTTATGCCAGCTTCTGCTCTTCTATTAGTTTTTCTTATTTCTTTCTCTCTATTCTCTTAAACTTCCTTTCAGCCTAGATTTAGAGCCAGTTCACATTGACTTTGAGAGCTAGTGTCAGGAAACAAAGAAATTCTATTTTCTGACTGGAATATTAGCTAATCATAGTACATGTTCTACAATCTTTATATGGATAGTTCATTTTATAACTGAGGCTATTTTGGTAATTTTCAAAGTAGTTGAACTTAGAACTTCTGAATAATAGATAAGGGTAATACAATTGTATTTATTTCATTGATAAAATCTAACAAATGGGCAGAGATAACTACTGTGAGAAAAAATACACAACACAGAATCTTTCAAATTTTAGTCAATTTTTCACAGTGAAGTTTTTAAAAATATATATCTTATTGATTATGCCATTACAGCTGTCCCCTTTCCCCACTTCATTCCCCTCCACCCTGCACACCCCCTCCCATCTACATTCTCCCTCTTTAGTCCATATTCATGTGTAATAAGTTCTTTAGCTTCTACATTTCCCACACTACTCTTGCCCTTCCCCTGTCTATTTTCTCCCCACTGTCTATGCTACTTATTCTACCTTCTCCCCCCTTCTCCTCCTCCCACTCCCCTGTTGCTAATTCTCCATGTGATCTCCATTTCTGTGGCTCCACTCCTGACCTAGCTGTCTGCTGAGTTTGCTTTTGTTTTAGGTGTGGTTGTTAATAACTGAATTTGCTGCCACTCACTGTTCATATTTTTATCTTCTTTTTCTTAGATAAGTCCCTTTAACATTTCATATAATAAGGGCTTGGTGATGATGAACTCCTTGAACTTGACCTTATCTGAAAAGTGCTTTATCTGTCCTTCCATTCTAAATGAAAGCTTTGCTGAGTAGAGCAATCTTGGATGGAGGTCCTCACCTTTCATGACTTGGAACTTCTTTCCAGCCCCTTCTTGCCTGTAAAGTCTCTTTTGAGAAATCAGCTGACAGTCTGATGGGAACTCCTTTGTAGGTGACTGTCCCCTTAGCTCTTACTGCTTCTAGGATTCTCTCCTTCATTTTAATCTTGGCTAATGTCCTTATGATGTGCCTTGGTGTGTTCCTTCTTGGGTTCAACTTCTTTGGGACTCTCTGAGCTTCTTGGATTTCCTGGAAGTCTACTTCCTTTGACAGATTGGGGAAGTTCTCCTTTATTGTTTGTTCAAACAAGTTTTCCACTTGTTGCTGTTCCTCTTCCCCCTCTGGTACCCCTATAAATTCAGATGTTGGAATGTTTAAAGATGTCCTGGAGGTTCCTAAGCCTCTACCTTTTTTGAATTCTTGTTTCTTCCTTCTTTTCTGTTTGGTTGTTTCTTTCCTCCTTCTGGTCCACTCCATTGATTTGAGTCCCAGTTTCCTTTTCATCACTATTGGTTTCCTGTGCATTTTCCTTCATTTCACTTAGTGTAGCCTTCATTTTTTCATCTAATTCGTGACCAAAATCAACCAGTTCTGTGATCATCCTGATCACCTGTGTTTTGAACTGTACATCTGTTAGGTTGACTATCTCTTTGTTGCTCAGTTGTATTTCTTGTGGAGCTTTGATCTGTTCTTCCATTTGAGCCAATTATTTTTGTCTTGTAGCGCCTGTTACATAGTGAGAGGCGGAGCTTTAGGTGTTCACCAGGGTGGGGCAACCCAGTTGCTGGGTTGTGACACTGTATGTTGGGGCGGAGTCCCAGAGGGTACAAGGGCACTTGCTCCGCTTACTGTCAAATTTCAGTCCTTTCCGCCACTTCCCGAAAGCTAACTGGGCCTTTCTGGTGCTGAGTCCCATGTGGGTGGGCTTGTGTATGTTCTACTGCCCTGTGGGTCTCTCCAATGAGTTTGGGAGTCTCTCTGTGCACCTCAACCCCCACAGGTATTTTCAATTCATGTTTTGGGGCTTTATTTCCTGGCGCTGGGACCCTGGGTTGCATGGTCTCTTGCTCCCCAGTTTTGCCTGGTTTATCTGCACACAAATGTGGGACCATCCAGTCAGCCAGCTGCCTTGCATGTAGTGCCTCACTTCACAATTGCCGCCTTGCTGGGTCTGCCCACTGCCACCCTGTGCCTGGGGTCTGGCCATCACCGCCTACATGCCTGGGGTGCCTTACACACTCAGTACCACCACTCTTTGTACCCCGACCCCTCTCTGTTCAGCTGCCCGACTCTGCCCTAACAGTCTGGATGAATGTGTTTATTTTAACTCCTTGGTTATCAACTTCCATACAGTTCAATTTTCTGTCAGTTCTGGTGTTTATTTTGTTTCTAAGTTGTTGTTGTGCTTATTTTGTTTGTGCGAGGAGGCACAGTGTGTCTACCTATACCTCCCTCTTGGCTGGAAGTCCCCTGATCATGGTGTATGATCTTTTTGACGAATTATTGTATTTGGTTTGCTAATATTTTGTTGAGGATTTGAGCATCTAAGTTCATCTAGGATGATGGTCTATTATTTTCTTTTTTTTGTAGTGTCTTTATCTGATTTTGGTATTAGGATAATGCTGGCCTCATAGAATGAGGAGCCTTCTCTCACCTTTAATTTTTTGAAATAGTTTGAGAAGCAAAGGTGCTAGTTTTTCTTGGAATGTTTGGTAAAATTCATCTAAATTCATCACTAAAATTCATCAGTTCCAGGGCTTTTTTTTCTTGGGAGTTTTTTGATTACTGCTTCAATTTCCCTAGCTGTAATCTTCCTATTCAGACTCTCTGATTGTTCTTGATTTAGCTTTGGAAGATTGTATGTTTCTAAGATTTTATCCATTGGTCCAGGTTGTCCAGTTTATTGGCATATAGTTGTTCATAATATTTCCTTATAGCCGGTTGTTTTTCTTTGGTGTCTGTCATTATTTCTCCTCTTCCATTTGTGACTGTATTCATTTGTGTCCTCTCTTTTTTCTTGATGAGTCTGGTTAAAGGTTTGTTAATCTTGTTAGCTTTTCAAAGAACCAGCTCTTGGGACTTCCGCCAAGATGGAGGCATAGGTAGATGTGCCCTGCCTTCTCACACAACCAAGTTTAGAGACAACTAAATATTAGCAACAGAAAACACAGCCAGAACACGGAAAATTGAACTTCTCGGAAGTCCGTTAACAACAAATTCTTCAGCCTGACCGGTAAGGGGCGAAAGCAGCAGCTGGTGAAGCAGGGTTGCACAGGAAACCTCAGTCAGAGGGACTCAGGTGTGGAATCCAGACGCGCGGAATCCAGGCGCAGGGTTGGACCTAGTGAGCGACCAAGTGAGCGACCAGGCGAGCGACCGTGGGGGAGACAGCGGGGTAGCGGGGCTGCGTGTTGACTGTGGTCGCGCATTTGTGCGCGGGTAGACA